GCCACCGCCTTGCTCTTCGCGCTGATTTAATTATATTCCATAGTCAAAAGTAAACAATTATCTGCAACCCTACTTATTCATGCATTAAAAAGAAACGGAGTTGGGGCGATGGCTCAGGAGTTAAGAGCACTGGCTGCTCTTCCAGAGGACCCAGGTTCAATTCCCAGCACCCACATAGCACCTCAGCTGTCTGTAACTCCTATTCCGGGGGATCCGACACCTTCACACAGACATACCTGCAGGCAAAACACTAATGTACATAAAATAAAAATAAATAATTAAAAAAAAAAGACACAAACATACAATACCCACTTCTCAAGGGACTGAGGCTGGAAGGTTGCTAAGACAAAAAAAAGAAAGAAAAAACCCTCAGTTTTTAATGCATGTTAATGGATGCTTGTAATCCCACTATTTGGGAAATGGAAGCTGGAGGATTAAGAGTTCCAGGCCAGCTTCAGCTGCACAGCAAGTTAAAGGCCAGACTAAATGAGACCCCACCTAAAAAATAATTCTAGTTCTTAGCAGAAAACATAGCAATAACACTATAGCACTATTTCATTTTTTAAAAATATATTTTATGTGCATTGGTGTTTTCCCTGCATGTATGTCTGTGTGAGGGTGTCAGATTCCCTGGAGCTGGAGCTCTAGACAGGTTGTAAGCTGTCATGTGGATGCTAGGAATTGAACCCCGGGTCTTCTTGAGGAGCAGCCAGTGCTCTTAACCGCTGAGCCATCTCTCCAGCACCTATAGCAGTATTTCCTGTGTGTGTTTACGGTGTGGGGACATGTATGTGGGTGTGCAGTGTGGGGACACACATGAAGAGGCCAGGGGTCAATACGAGACCCTGTGTGTTATATGCAAGTATGCACACACACTGGCCAGGCACATATATCAGACAGAGGTTGACATTAAAATGTCTTCCTCAATCACTTCTTTATATCATCATCATCATCATCATCACCTGAGATAGCTCTGGCTGTCTGGGAACTCAGTAACGAAGACCAGACTGGCTTCGAACTCACAGAGATCCACCTGCCTCTGCCTCTCAAGTGCTAGGATTAAAGACGTGCCATTTCACCCAGCTTCCACCTTTTTTTGAGACAGAACTCACAGACCTAGGAACTTGCTGCTGCTCTGGCTAAACCCGCTGGCTAGCAGGCCTGGAATCTGCCAGTCAAGGCCCCCAAGCCCTGAGGATACAGAAGCACACTGCCATGCCAGGCTTTTATGTGGGTGCAGAGGATCCAGAATTGGGGCCTCATGCTTTCACAGCAAGGACTTCACACACTGAACCACCTCACGAACCCTCTGCCTTGGTTTTCTTTGCTTTGGCTTTTGGGACAGGATCTCACTATGCAGACCAGGCTGGCCTCTACTTCCCGACTGCTGAGATTAAAGGTGTGCACCACCACGCTCACCCTAAAACACTGTGTGTGTGTGTGTGTGTGTGTGTGTGTGTGTGTGTGTGTGTGTGTGTGTGTGTGAAAGTGCATGGAAGTCACAGAATTTGTAGGAGTTAGCTCTTTGCCTCCACAAATGTCCCAGACATCAAACAGGTCGTCAGGGATAGTGTGGCAAGTCCCTTTGACCACTGAGCAATGTCACTGAGCAGCAGGGGCTCATCTGGCTTGTGGAGAGCATTTTACTAACAGCTGTCATCTCCATCCATTGTATCTTTTCTTTTCTTCTTTTTTTTTTCTTTTTTTTTTTTTTTTCCAAGACAGGGTTTCTCTGTGTACTTTTGGTACCTGTCCTGGATATCTCGCTCTGTAGACCAGGCTGGCCTTGAACTCACACAGATCCGCCTCCCTCTGCTTCCCGAGTGCTGGGATTAAAGGCATGCGCCACCGCCGCCCGGCCATTGTATCCTCTCTAAAAGTAAACATTTTATGTGTTTGGGTGTTTTGCTTGTATGCATGTCTGAGCACCACACATGTGCCTGGTGCCCCTGGTGGCTAGAAGTGTCAGCTCTTGGGAGTTACACACAATTGTGAGCCACCATGTAGGTGCTCGGGATTGAACTCAAGACCTCAGGAAGAGCAGCCAGTGCTCTTAACCTCTGAGCCATCTCTCCAGCCCCACCCACCTCCTTTGTGACAGGATCTCACTGGTCCAGAATTTGACAATTAGACTAGTGAGCCCCAGGTATCCTTCTGTTTCCGCTTTCCAGCCCTGGGATTACAAATGAACACTACTATGTTGTGCTTATTTTTATGCAAAGGCTTTATCAATGTAGTCATTCCCAGCCCCTCATCAACGTATTCTTGATGACTCAGCATCAAGAAGGGCTCTACCAGGCCGGAAGCATGGCAAACATGGCACCCAACAGGTTTTACCTTTTACCCTTCTCCCCCTAATACAAACCATTAGGTTACAGCCCTAAAGCTAGCCTCCAAGGTCCATACCCTTATTTGGCCACTAACTCATTCCTGAGACAAAGCATCAAGGTCCAGCAACCAAAATTCATTATTTGGCTAGTATGTCCAATCAGAACTTAGCAGCTCACCCTAGCAGACTCCCCCTTTTCGCCTTAAAAACCCACTCCTGCAAAACAAAACAAAAAAAACAAACAAAAACACCTGCTTGCTGGGTGCTTTTTGCTGCTACTGCTGCCTTTGCAGCCTCTCCTGCCCCCCTGCACCTCCGGGGTAATAAATCTCTTGTGTTGAGAATTTGATGTCTGGGTATGTCCTGTATCGATTGTCCTGTGGGGGGGGGGGTTGGGGTCCTCCCCTACAGAGACACTTCTATTGGCTGGTACTAACAGAAGGAACAGAAAAGCTAGAATACTTTATAGTTGCTACACAATACTTGTAACTGAATTTTTGTTTTGTTTATTGAGACAGGGTTTCTCTGTGCAGTTTTGGTGCCTGTCGTGGATCTTGCTCTGTAGATCTGGCTGCCCTCGAACTCACAGAGATCCACCTGGCTCTGTCTCCCTAGTGCTGGGATAAAAGGTGTGCACCACCATCACCTGGCAATTTTTTTTTTTTTTTTTTTTTTTAGGCCAATTGGTCTTGAATTCTCAAAGATCCGCCTACCTCTGCTTCCCAAATGCTAGGACTAAAGGCCTGTGCAACATGTGTGACCCAAATGTAACTTCAGTTTCTGATAGTTTGGAAAGGGTAGGGGAGTGACTTGTCTCAAAAGAACAAAACAGGTCTCAAAAGAACATACAGATCAAACCTTTTATTTAGCAGTAAAGAATGGAGCTTAAAATGCAAGTGAACAGTTGTCACGAACCAGTTTTATTCTGCATTTTTAAAGGTCAAACAGTTCCTCTCACACTCTAATAACTTGGAATTTATATTAGCTCTCTGTAGATTTACTGAGGGTGTTAATGGCAAAGTCTAACTTAATCCATGAAAGCTACATTAATATAAGCAGTCATTCAATCAGTGAAGGTTTTGAGAAGGATTATTTGATATGGAATTCCAAATAGTAGTAAACAGCTGATTCATTTTTAATGTTTCTGCTCCTTGGCTTGGTAGTCTAGCTCAATTTTTTTAAATCACCTTTTTTTTTTTTTTTAAGTGTCGGCAGGACCCCAGCATTTACTATCTTGCACCACTTTTCACTATCATAGTGTCGAAAAAAGATTCTGCAGTAGTCAGAGCCCAGTTGACTACGTGCCCAGAAATGTAAGCAGAAGCAAGGGCTGTATCCCTTTCCACCAAAGAGGTTTATAATGAGTGACGGCATTCAGCTCAGTCCAACGATGAGCTTCCGAGCTTCCGCACCAACCTCGAAACTCACTGCGAGCACGTCCCAAAGGCGCCCGCATTTTAACTGCCCCCAACGAGAATCCGCGCCGTTCACTTCAGCCTCTAGACCTTGATGATTTACCCAGAGGGCTTTGGGTTGCATCCGTGGCTAAAGCGCATTTTCGTACCCACTTGCATTGAGGACGTGGTACTAACTTGAGCTGTTCACCGTGGCAGCGCGAACCCAGATTTCCTAGCACGCGAACTGCGGCCCCGCTGACTCCGCCCCGTAGCGAGGACGCAGGCAAAGGACTACAGAACGGAGGATTCTGGGGGGAGGAAGTGACGCCAGGCGCAAAGCATGCTGGGCGCGGGCGGGCCGACTCAAGGCAGGTCGGTGGCGTGGGAGCCGAGTGGGGATGGAGCGATGCGTTCCTGGGGCGGTTTCCTCGGTTGTCGCGAATAAGCAGCTGGCCCCAAACCCCGCGGAGACTCTGGTCTACAGAGCGTAGGTGGGAATCGGAGAACTCCGCATCAGTTATGCCTACAAGGGGTTTGGGGCGACATCTTCTATCTAAGGAAAGCTGAGGGTTTGAGTATCATCCGTGGACCAGGGTTCAAAGCCAGGTTGGAGTCGTATCCGGAATTGGTACAAGAGCGTGGGATGGACATGCTAGAGGAGTTCCAGAATTGCTCTGGAGGCCATTCGCTATTACCGGAGCTCAGGCTGAATTTTAAGTAACTTTTCTTTTTCCGGATATGGTAAAAAACATTCTCGAGAATTCTCCACAGTATCAGTTTCTTATACTGAAAATGGGCATTTTGGGCCGGGCGGTGGTGGCGCACGCTTTTAATCCCAGCACTCGGGAGGCAGAGGCAGGCGGATCTCTGTGAGTTCGAGGCCAGCCTGGACTACAGAGTGAGTTCCAGGACAGGCTCCAAAGCTACACAGAGAAACCCTGTCTCGAAAAACAAAACAAAGAGCTTTTTGTTTGTTGTTCCCTTTGAGGCTGGAGACGTACACTATGCTAACCAGGCTGGTCTCAAACTGGTGGTCTCAGTGTTAGTAGTAGGCCGGACTGTAGGTATGAGCTACCAAGACCACAGAGAAACCCTGTCTCAAAATACTAAAAAAAAAAAAAAAAGAAAGAAAGAAAGAAAAGAAAGAAAAAGCAACTTGCCAAGAATTTGAGGCAAATTACAGATGTCGCTGCCTTCAGAATGGAGATTAGGGGTTAAGACATGGCTTGTCTGGAATATGCATAGTGATTAACCCAAACTGGTAATGGTTTCAGTTCTAGCCAGCTGGTAACCATGAGTGAATGGACGAAGAAAAGCCCCTTAGAATGGGAAGACTACGTCTATAAAGAAGTCAGAGTGATAGCCAGTGAGAAGAAGGAGTATAAAGGATGGCTTTTAACCACAGACCCAGTCTCTGCCAAGTGAGTATGCATCTTACTTTCTGGAAGTGACAACGCCGTACGTACTGCCTGGATATCCCAGATGAGAAGGCCGGTCCGTGGAAGGCTGGTTATTCACACCTAACAACTGCTTTTGAGCCTAAGTGCTGTTTTAACTGTGGGTTACGACAGCAAATTGGACACAGTTACAGGAACAGAACATAGAAATTCTCTCCTCCCCTTCCCCCTTTCACAGGGTCTCACGTAGCCCAGGCTGGCCCTGAGCATGCCTCGTAGCTGAAGATGACCTTTGACTTCATCGGCTGCTACTTCCTGAGTGCTAGGATTAAAGGTGTGAACCAATCTTTTTTAGAGGCTCACATCACTCAGGCTGGCCTCAAATTCATTGTGTAGCTGAGGATAAACATGAACTCCTGATTCTCCTCTCTCCGCCTCCCAAGTGCTGAGATAAGTGTGAGCCACCGTATCCAGCTGTTAAGAACTTGTCTCAAGAAGAAAAAAAGGGCTGAGGATACATAGAGGGTGGTGTGGGGGGGATGCCCACACCGTTCGCTGGCAAATTCTGTACTTTTTTGAAGTACCAAATATTTATTTGTTTATTTTTGAGACAAGGTCCCCCCCCCTTTTTTTTTCAAGACAGGGTTTCTCTGTGTAGCTCTGGAACTTGCTCTGTGACCAGGCTGGCCTTGAACTCACAGAGATCTGCCTGCCTCTGCCTCCTGATTAAAGGCATGAACTATCACACCAGGCTGAAGCTAATGTGATCTTGATATCAGAAGTAGAGGACAGGTTTAAAAAAAAAGAAAACTATTAATTCCATTTAGGAATTCAAACACCAGAATCTTCACTAAAATACATAGTCTACCATATGTTATGCTGTAACAAAAGAATTTTACTTCTGCAGCCAGGTGCAGTGGTGGACAACTTTAATCCCGGCACTCCCAGGCAGAGCCAAGCAGATCTCTGATTTTAGACCAGCCTGGTCTACATAATGAATTCCAGGACAGCCAGGGCTACAAAGAGAACTTGTTAAAACAAAAACAAAAACAAAAAAACCCTTCACTTCTGTACTACTCTCCTAAAAGCCTAGTAATTCCTTTTTTTTTTCCCCCTTCGGTTTTTCGAGACAGGGTTTCTCTGTGTAGTTTTGGTGCCTGTTCTGGATCTCGCTCTGTAGACCAGGCTGGCCTAGAACTCCCGAGTGCTGGGATTAAAGGCATGTGCCACCGCTGCCCGGCAAGCCTAGTAATTCGTAGTGTAATTATGAGAAAGCTTCACACAACCAAGAATTGAGACATTGTATAAAACACTTCACAATACTTTTCAGACCTCTCAAGACCATAGGAAGCATGTAAAGACCGGAAAACAGATCAGAAGAGAATAAGGAAACATGAGAACTAAATGTAACATAGGATCTCAAATTGGAAATGTAACCTAAGATCTTGGACTAGATCCTGGAACAGAAAAAGGCCCCCAGTGGAAAACTCAGTACTAAACAACACCTGTGGTTAATGTAAATTCTTATTTTTGACAGAGGTACCATCAATGTGTACGATGTTAGCTTGGGGAAGCTTAGTGAAGAGAGTATGGATACTCTGTAATGTCTTTATTACCTCCATTAGTCACAAAAAAATGCATGTTTAAGACAAATGGCCCAATTCCTAAAATTTAAGTGATATGGCAGGAATGGTGGCCAAGCCTTTAATCCCAGCACTCGGGAGGCAGAGGCAGGACCATCTCTGTCCTTTGGGACTATCCTGATCTACGTAGCAAATTCCGAGCCAGGCAGAGCTACAGAGTGAGACCCTGTCTCAAAAGAAGAAAAGAAAGAAAACTGAAAAGGTAGGGTCTCAGCAAGTTTGTGATTCTCCTGCCTCAGCCTTAAGAATAGCTGGGGTAGGGCCGGGCGGTGGTGGCGCACGCCTTTAATCCCAGCACTCGGGAGGCAGAGGCAGGCGGATCTCTGTGAGTTCGAGGCCAGCCTGGGCTACCAAGTG